CCCTCACCCCGTCCCCTCCGATAAGGCATTTGTGAACATTTTGCAATGGAAATGTTTGTTTAATCTACATTGTAGAGTATCCATCGGGGCAGAGTACCACTATCATCTTGTAATAGTTGTAACACGTATAGAGAACTGGGAAATCTAGTCAGGTATCTTGACACTAGAGTGCCAAATAGATAACTACAATGTAACAAGAACTACACATAACTGAAATATCAGTTTTGAGTAAAGATATAATTTAGGACTGCGCTTTCTTCCATGCTGTTCACACAATGATTTCTTTGGAATACCATGGTTAAATTTCACATGCTGTAATAATTCAACCCACATGAGTTATATAATAATTTTCAATGAAATACATTGTAAAATGATCATGTTAGGCCCCAAAGAGCTGCAGTATTTTTGCAGTTGCGTGCCACCCTCAGCAGAACTAATGCATTCCCAAAGGGAGTTCTACTACACAATTAGGCACTCTGATCCACCTAAGCTTGACATTTCTGCTGAATATATGTGTCTAAAACTTAGAAAAATTCTGAAATTTGTCTGGAAAAAGATATGAAGGAAAATCAAAGTGCACCTGTCACAAAATTTAAAACAAAAATGTGAAAAAACACTGAACCTCATTAGAAAATCCACTCCCTGATCTCCTGTACTGCATTCTGATTTAAGGGCAGTCAAACTAAACCTATTTTAATTCCATTTGAATAAAGTGACTCTCCTGGAATGTGATTCTTGATTTTCGTGAACAGTTGTCTTAGTGTCCAGACAGGATGCCAAAGGAAATGGGAACTTAAACATCCATATTAAAGTTATAGAGTGTTTAACCAATATGTAGCCTTTTTTTTGGCTTTACTTGCCCGTACAGTGAGTCCGCATAGACTTGTATGGGGCCATCCCAGATGCTGGAGCGGCAAGTCAGCACAGCCTCATACAAGTCTACGAGGGCTCAGCATGCAGACATGGCCGGTGCTAAAGAGCTTTTCTGGGATACAGAATATTAGTCTAGGCTACTTCAGGTGGGTTAGAGGAATTTAGCTTAAATCCCCATAAATACCTTAAGAAAGCCTTTTTTATATACCACTCTAACTCTGAATGTGATGACTGGTGGCTCAAACACTTTAATCTGTACCTGGTGGACCAGTCAGTTCTTTGTGATGTCATCATGCCGTTGCAGTTTTCTGGATCCATGAGGACCCCGCCGCTAGACAGCCAATAGGAAGGGTCCACATCACCAAGGCGTTGATGTGGACACCCAAAAAAGGACCCCTTCTTGGCAGTGAAGAAGACAGAAAACTTGGACCCATCAGGTCACATGACCATAGATTTAGGTATGTATTTTGGGCATTTTGCTTTGTTGTTTTTTTTAAGTAACTCAGCAATTAGTGGGAGAAAGAGTGGTGAGGAGAGCTATGCCCAGAGTTCAGCAAATAAAGGTTATCCTTTAAAATTGTCAATATTTGAATGGCATAGACTTGGAACAGGCTCCCGTTAAGATAAATTATTTATTTCAACATGTGGTGAGTAAGACAGTTGTCAGTGAGGGGTTAATTATTGATACTATGAGATCATATAATTCTTGTGTAGCTTAGCCCTTAGTGCTGCAGAAAACCATCATAATGTACAGGAGGAGACATATATGGGAACTCCTGTCCACAAGTGCCATCTGCCATCATCATATTGCTTAGCTATAGTGAGATCCTCGGGCTTGTAGAATAGTAACAAGGAAAGTGGAATTTGTTTGCAGATGGGTTTTATTCTAAACTATATTATGTTAATGGGTTTGGCATGAGGCCCAAAATAGCATTGAAATTATGTAAATGTCTAATTTCCCATAAGTCTTCAATCCAGCAGCCTGAAAACAACAGAACATCAGCTCCCTCCCATGGAGAACGGCCCCTAAAACAACTGCTTTAGTACCCTACTAGACACTCAGAAGACCCACAAATCCATCTGAAGCTGTTTTATATGTTTATATTGAAGCCAAGTGCCTAGAAGAGGATGCTGCTGCCAGACCTGCAGAAAATATGCACCACTTCCCTCATACATACAGATAATGCAGGTTTACATAACAACTCTGGTGAAAAAGAAAAAAGAATTAAACTTTTAAACTAGTTATCATGCCCACTGTCTATCAGCAAAACTTTTTTCATCCTGTGCCTTGGTGGTAACAGTATTCACTATACCACAGTGCTGCACTACAGGGCATGACAACCATGTTCTGAGCCTGCAGTTATTTATCCAAGTTGCCCCTGCCCAACCTTATGCCTAGCAGCCTAGTGATGATCAAACCAGTAGAATCCTGTAGTCATCAGTTTTAGATTTTTCTGAATAGGTAGATGTGGTTGTTCTGCTGAGAATTGCAGAATTATGTAATGCAATCAATTGTGATTCATTTATTTGTATGTTTTTTTCTGTTGATTGGTCAAATCTACGTGGATATATTTAGGAGAAGCAAAAAATGTGCAGATTTGCTTGCTCTTCAAGCCAATTTATATCACTGCTTTTGATACATTCCAGAAGAAAACCTGTACTAAGGGAATATGGAAGCTCCCATTGCTGTCTTCTGCTTCTGAAAATATTATTTGCCTGGCTGACGTGCTGATCCAATGGCTTCAATAGTTTCTAAGACACTGACCAGACCAAGCCTTGCTGCCAAACCAGCTGCTGACAAGCCTGAAGTTCTCCCATGACGACTCAATACAATTTTCAAGCTGCAGCGACTGTAGTCCATATACCTGATTTCTATCCTCAAACCCTGATTGGCTACTTGCATGCCCTCTCACCCTAATGGAATAAAGTTGTATCTGGAATATTTTAATCGGTGTGGCGCTTCAGATCCTACATCTACTGTCTTGACTTATTTCAGGACACCATGATCATTGGATTGAAGTAACTTGAGTAGCTATAAGTACTGCTAGGCACTAATATAAACTGAGTAAAGCACCTGGATGAGGGCTGACGCATTTTCAACATTACGGAACAAGTCAAATTGAATATGAAACTATGAAGCCCTTCCTGGGTTTTACTGTTATCTGGGGCCCTGTTAGAGATTTACCCTCACTTCCTATCCCAATGACAATATATTTTACTAGACAGGAAATGTGGGGAAATCTCCAACAGAAACACAGAAATAAATGGTATATTTTAAATAAAGTAGGGGAAGGCACAAACCCATATCATATTTATATTTCAATCTGTGTCCCTGTTGCATATTATTCCTTTCTTCTTGTCTATTGAAGTGGGAGGAGCCCTGGAGCCCTGGAGAGCAGTAAAAATCCAGATGGGGTTCCAGTCCTTTCCAACATTTAAAAAAAGTAATGGCTTGACATACACTTTAAAGTGCACCTGCACTAAGCCTATGGACAATAAACTATTTACATACTTACAATAAGCAGTAAAATACATTTAAAACATGCTCTCACTCACCTCTGTAGCTGCTTTTAATGTGAAGTTATTCATTCTCAAAGATCCTCAAAGCTCACAACAAAGACTCTGGACTCAGTTTCCAAAAACCTAAAACTGGGGTAGGCAACCTCGGCACTCTGGCTGTTGTGGAACTACAAGTCCTTTATTAGCCACAGGCATGACTCCCATGGCTTGAGTGCCGAGGTTACCTCCCCCTGGCCTACAGACATCTGCTAGTGGTTTATATCACACGGCTGGCAACTTGCCAGGATTTGCTCATAAAACGCTCATATTTCAAGGTCTGTGTTGTGAACTTTGGAAATAGATACAAAGATGAATGGGGGCTTGTTATAAAGTGATTTTACTGCTTGTTCAGAATATGTAAATATTTTAGTGTGCATGATCTAGCCACTGGTTCACTTCACTGTGCAACTCTTCCCCTCCTTCTGCAAATCCTCAAACATTTTACAACAATCTACCACCAGGTGTAAAACAATGCACTTCTACAATATAAAAATAAGACAAGTGTAGTATTGGGCTTTCTTGTAGTCTGTCCATAAGAGCAGCAGTTTATATCTGCCACACTATAAGGCTGGTTTGAAACATGTTTCAATATTTTTATGGAGTATTTAAAAAAAGGTTTCTTACCATGCTGTGATTGTTATCGCCATACCGTCCATTGGGATTGGCAAGGTGGCAGTTCTTGTACCAGAATGCTGCCTGATGCGAGAGGGCGCAGTTAGTGAGAGCTATATCATTATCCTTGTCCCAGGTTGTGAACTTCCATCCATTGTGATAGGTAAGAGCGTCACCTGTCAAAGATAGAGAGAAAGCGTGATATAACTGCATGCAATTGTAACACACAGAAGTTCCCAAATGAATATTGATGATTAGGCAGCTTATTCTAAGTGTATCAAAATGCCATAAACTACAGTTTACCAGCCCTTAAATGTGGTAGCTGCATTCCGTTTTTCATTTATTTTCACCTGGTGATACTTTCAGTACCACATTTCCTGTCCTTGGTGACAAGGCTCACATGTACTATATCTATGGAGGAGCAGTACCCTAGGACAGTGATGGCGAACGTTAATGAGCCCCAGTCCCCAAACTGCGACGCAAAATCAATGTATTTATATCAAAGTGCCCACAATTAAAATAAATTTGGTTTTGTGTTTTAGTTTGGGCACTGGGGTTTAAAAAACATTCAGCATCAGTAGGCAAAATAGGGAAACACACATATTCAAACATTTAAACATTTTATTTTTTTTCTTTATTTTTTACTTTTTTAGAGCTTTATTTTTTATTTTTTTTATTACTTTTTTATGTTTTATTTTAATTATAATTGTTTTATTATTTTTTACATATTTTTTAATTTTTATTTATTTTATAATTGTTTTACTTTTATTTTTCACTAGGGCTGGT